TAATTTCGGCAGGACTAGGGCATAGACATTGATTTTAGTACTGCTAAAAAAAAATCTCGGTCTTATTTCGAGAAATATTTTTGATTTTGCCACTCCCACAATAGTCTCTCCGAGACCTCTTAGCTTCATATCAGTCTTCAGAAGAACATTTGCTGCTGTGTTGGTTGTCATCGCCTTAGAGTTGTTTACTTTCTCCAAAATGATCAGAGTGTTATGACTCAATCCTCACTTCTGACATTTGTCATCGACTAGACACCTCTTCTCTTCTCCGTGCTTCAGACACTTTAGGCATAACTGGGCTGACTTCACCCAACTATATCGCTCGTTCGATGATTGACTTGCAAATTTCCTACACGCCACAATGTCGTGACCAATCAACTTGCAAAATCGGCATTGCCTCTTCTCCGCCATTCCTGATATATCTTGCTGGTCGAATATTTCTGGAATGTATTGTATTCTATCTGCTGCAGCTTCCAATGCTTGATATTGCTGTTCCAGAAAGTCCAGCACGTCTGCAAGTTTTTGAATTTCCTTAGACTTTTCACATTTTGCTCGTACTGAATAAGTCCCTCTTTGTCCAGTTTCCTTATAATAATCCTGGCTAAAATCGGATCAGCATAGTCTAACGGTATTTCCATCGCCTTCAATGCGTGAACACTCTCGTTCATGCTATCGAGTAATTTCCTTAAGCTGGATGCCGATTGATTATTTATATTCGGTTGATCTAAAATCGTATCCACTAGTTTCGTGAATAAAATTATTTTGTTACTGTATCGTTTTTCCAGCAACTCCCACGCTGCCTTATAATTTGCGTCTGTTATTTGTAGATGCTGCACTAATCGTAAGGCTTCTCCTTTCAAATTAGTTTTCAGGTAATACAACTTTTCCACGTCCGATAGTTGCATATTACCATCTATCATTTTTTTAAAAGGAACTCCATTCCTCCACATTTCCAAAAACTTGGAATCTCTATTTTTTCAATTCTACCGCATGAGCTTCTTCTTTTCCGCCACTTAATTTCCCAATTATTACTTGGATTTTCGGGTTCATTTTTTCTTCTACTTCTTCTAATTCTTCATCCACTTCTTCCAGTCCATAGTCCGTGGTTAGTTCTAAGTGCAGCTGCTTGATGTCCTCGAATTGTTTCTCCCACGTAGACTTGACATTCTCCAGAGCATATCTAGAGAATCCAGTAACATCTACTTCCATGGCATCTGAGAGCTTTATAATCCTTCTGCGAAATTGTGGCAGCACTGCATTTTTCGTTCCACTATTTGACTGTGGAGGAATTACGGCACATTCTTTTAACGCAGTCCGATCATCTTCACCCTGAGGAGCTTCTTTGCTCATCTTCAACTGCATAAACTGCTGCATTTGTTGTTGCATTTCCAGAATTTGCGCCTGCATTACCATGAACTACTGATGTATCCCTGCACTAGTGAGCTCTGTTACTGTCAGTTTCCCAGCTCTGCTATCTACTGCTTTTCGGGTTCTTCTTTAATTTTCTGCATGAGACCTCTGCATATATCATGCACGCTCAGGAATCGGTCCCATATGTTGTCCTTGAAATATACGTCGTTGTTTGCTCCCAGTTTGTTTAATTTTAGATTATATAATCTCGCCTCGTCCATTTTCGTTTCGAGCGACTTGTACACAGCTTCTAGTGTCGCTTTCCGTACCATCCCGCTTTTCAGTTTATCAGAAATCTCAATCATTTCTTTGAGAATCTGATTTTGTACCTTGTACAGAATATGTCTATCTGCCGACATTGTTTTTTTTTTTTTGGATTTGTGGCTATTAACTTTGGTTTTGCCTTATTTGGTTTTATTTAGTTTTTTTTTTAATATTTTGCCTATATTGGTTTTTTTTTTGCTTGTTGTGTGCCTTTTTTGGCTTTTTATGTGCCTTTTTTATATTTTAATATTTTTTATATTTTTTAATATTTTATTTTTTTATGTTGACGGTCGCTGCTTCTTTTCTCTCGAAGTACCACTGTTTGAGAAGTGTTGGGATTAGATGTTAATTCGCTTCTGATTTTATTGTAAACGAATATTCAATTAAGAGCTAGACCGTCATAGAAGCCTTAAGCTATCTTATTCTATGCGCTTATCATTGGAAATGCTTGTTTGTCCCTTACTGAGTTCACCACAAAAAATTATTAATATTCTCCCCTTTTTCTTATTCGTTATCAAATTCCCATGTAATGTAATTTATGTAAATCCTCGAAAATAAAGATAGGTCATACACTTTTCTTTTGAAAGGAGACGTAATATTATGGTAAAATGGTACCTACATATGTGGTACTGCAATGCGATATCTTTGTCGCGTAAACATCCAATTATGTAGAACGCGACCCATGCACGTGTCTTATGTTTACAGGTAGAACATATCGGTTTTATAATTTTTAAAAGATAACATCACAAATAATATGTAAACAACCCAATTAGAACCTATAATTGAAGCAGGTAAAAGGGTTTCCTTTATAAGAACAGTTGTTTTGTTTTTACGAAAATTTTAAATTTTATGACATTGTTTGTTTCAAAAAGGTCAAACTACCTCTCTGCGTTAGAGGTTCATAACAGTTAGCTTCAATTAATAACAAGTCCCCTAACCCCAGTAAATTTAGGTAGGTATTATAAATAATAAGCTCTAGGTATGCAAAAATTACGTACATATATAAATTGTGAGTACTCTGTTTTAAAATCAGTACATTATTGTTACTTGAAGAGTGTGTGTGCACATTTCGTAAAAAAATTAATAATTGAAATATTACAATTTAATAAGTGTTTTAAATACGTGTACATATAAATAATAAAGATGCCTAGACTACGCAAGCAATCAGTACAACAGCGCCAACGATTAATTGCGATGCGAGTCAGCAACTACCGCGAAGAAAACCCCTCGGACATCCTTAGGAACGCACGTTCTTTATCAACCAGAAGACGGAATGCAGAATATCGCGAAGAAGAGCGTGAACGGGATCGCATCCAGCACCAAACAAGGAGGAGATCTTCATACAATCGAAAAATAGAGCAGCTACGTAATACAGCACAGCATTTCTTTTCTCTCGAAGGACCACTGTTTGAGAAGTGTTGGGATTAGATGTTAATTCGCTTCTGATTTTATTGTAAACGAATATTCAATTAAGAGCTAGACCGTCATAGAAGCCTTAAGCTATCTTATTCTATGCGCTTATCATTGGAAATGCTTGTTTGTCCCTTACTGAGTTCATTATCAGTTGGGCATTGCCTTTATTATTGATGCACCCCAGCAGCGCACACAAGCATTATCACTTACACGCACTTATCTATGTAAATATATTTATGATAGGCACCTAAATATTTTATGATCTTCATGGTGTAAATTATGTTCATATTTTTATGAACACCCTGAATTTAAGCATATTAATGAGGGGAGGAAAAAAGAATAACAAGGATTTCCTTAGTAGCGGCGAGCGAAAAGGAAAGAGTTCAGCACTAAGTCACTTTGTCTTTATGGCAAATGTGAGATGCAGTGTATGGAGTGTTCAATTTCTAGTATGAGAAATTAACGATTTAAGTCCTTCTTAAATGAGGCCATTTACCCATAGAGGGTGCCAGGCCAGTATAACGTTACTGATTACTAGAGAACATTTCCAAAGAGTCGTGTTGCTTGATAGGGCAGCACAAAGTGGGTGGTAAACTCCATCTAAAACTAAATGTAACCATGAGACCGATAGTAAACAAGTACCGTGAGGGAAAGTTGAATAGAGAGTTATAAAGTACGTGAAACTGCATAGAGGTTAAGCCCGATGAACCTGAATATCCATCATGGAAAATTCATCTTTATCATTACTTACTTACTTAGCTGGCTTGTTACAGAACGGTTGTTCCACAAGCCGAGCTTAAAAACTGATTTCCAAGCGCGTCGGTCGTGTGCGCAAGTCCACCAATTTGGAAGACCACTCAGTAGGCTCAGTAGGCTATGAGCTGGGGCATTTTCATTCATCCGCACAACATGGCGTAGCCACCGTAGTCGCTGCAGCTCAATACGACTGACTATGTCGATGTCCGCGTATAAATTGTAAAGCTCGTGGTTCATTCGACGCCGATATTCACCGTCGACGCAGATCGACCCGTAGATCTTTCGGAGAGTTTTTTTTTTTTCAAACACCCCAAGAGCTGCCTCGTCTGCTTGCGCAAGTACCAATGCTCCTGATACATATAATAGCACGGGTAGTATCAGCGTCTTGTGAGTTTGGTCTGTCTGGAAGTGGCCTTGTTTCTAAACTGCTTACTTAGACCATAGTATTATTAAATACGTGTACATATAAATAATAAAGATGCCTAGACTACGCAAGCAATCAGTACAACAGCGCCAACGATTAATTGCGATGCGAGTCAGCAACTACCGCGAAGAAAACCCCTCGGACATCCTTAGGAACGCACGTTCTTTATCAACCAGAAGACGGAATGCAGAATATCGCGAAGAAGAGCGTGAACGGGATCGCATCCAGCACCAAACAAGGAGGAGATCTTCATACAATCGAAAAATAGAGCAGCTACGTAATACAGCACAGCATTTCTTTTCTCTCGAAGGACCACTGTTTGAGAAGTGTTGGGATTAGATGTTAATTCGCTTCTGATTTTATTGTAAACGAATATTCAATTAAGAGCTAGACCGTCATAGAAGCCTTAAGCTATCTTATTCTATGCGCTTATCATTGGAAATGCTTGTTTGTCCCTTACTGAGTTCATTATCAGTTGGGCATTGCCTTTATTATTGATGCACCCCAGCAGCGCACACAAGCATTATCACTTACACGCACTTATCTATGTAAATATATTTATGATAGGCACCTAAATATTTTATGATCTTCATGGTGTAAATTATGTTCATATTTTTATGAACACCCTGAATTTAAGCATATTAATGAGGGGAGGAAAAAAGAATAACAAGGATTTCCTTAGTAGCGGCGAGCGAAAAGGAAAGAGTTCAGCACTAAGTCACTTTGTCTTCATGGCAAATGTGAGATGCAGTGTATGGAGTGTTCAATTTCTAGTATGAGAAATTAACGATTTAAGTCCTTCTTAAATGAGGCCATTTACCCATAGAGGGTGCCAGGCCAGTATAACGTTACTGATTACTAGAGAACATTTCCAAAGAGTCGTGTTGCTTGATAGGGCAGCACAAAGTGGGTGGTAAACTCCATCTAAAACTAAATGTAACCATGAGACCGATAGTAAACAAGTACCGTGAGGGAAAGTTGAATAGAGAGTTATAAAGTACGTGAAACTGCATAGAGGTTAAGCCCGATGAACCTGAATATCCATCATGGAAAATTCATCTTTATCATTACTTACTTACTTAGCTGGCTTGTTACAGAACGGTTGTTCCACAAGCCGAGCTTAAAAACTGATTTCCAAGCGCGTCGGTCGTGTGCGCAAGTCCACCAATTTGGAAGACCACTCAGTAGGCTCAGTAGGCTATGAGCTGGGGCATTTTCATTCATCCGCACAACATGGCGTAGCCACCGTAGTCGCTGCAGCTCAATACGACTGACTATGTCGATGTCCGCGTATAAATTGTAAAGCTCGTGGTTCATTCGACGCCGATATTCACCGTCGACGCAAATCGACCCGTAGATCTTTCGGAGAGTTTTTTTTTCAAACACCCCAAGAGCTGCCTCGTCTGCTTGCGCAAGTACCAATGCTCCTGATACATATAATAGCACGGGTAGTATCAGCGTCTTGTGAGTTTGGTCTGTCTGGAAGTGGCCTTGTTTCTAAACTGCTTACTTAGACCATAGTAGCATCTGTTGGCCATCACAATCCTTCTCCGAATTCCAAAACTGATGTCATTCGTTTTATTTATGGCGGTACTAAGGTATATAAAGTCTTAAACAGCCTAGAAGCTGTAGTTCTCAAGTTCCACATTCGTCCGAGTCTACTGGACGTCTTGCGCGTTGATACCATCAGCATGGTCTTCTCGCCGTTTACTGCCAGACCCACTTTGGCAGACTCCTTTTCAATTTGTTCAAAGGTGACTGTTACCGCTCGCAATGTTCGACCCATTATATCAATGTTGTCGGCGTAGGCGAGTAACATGTGTTGTTTGGTGTACAGAGTGCCATTTCTGTTCACCGTTGCATCTTGTTTAACCTTTTCCAGTAGGATGTTAAAAAGATCACAAACTGTCACCTTGTCTGAATCCTCGTTCGGTATTGAAGGGCTCCGATAGGTCCTTTCCTACTTTAACTGCTGACCTTGTGCCACTTAAAGTTATCCTGCATAGCCGTATTAATTTTGCAGTAGTGTCGAACGCAGACATGTCTTTAAACTCCTCTGAACGGATAGGGCTGTCGAATGCGGCTTTATAGTCGACAAATAGGTGGTATGTGTCGATGTGTTTTTCGTAGGTCTTTTCCAGGATTTGGCGCAGACGGAAAATCTGGTCAATGGTGGATTTGCCAGGTCTGAAGCCGCATTGGTATGGTCCGATGATGTCATTGAACATAGGCTTCAATCGTTCACACAGCACTTCATATGCGATGGGAAGGAGACTTATTCCCCTATAGTCTGCACATATTGTCTTGTCTCCTTTTTTGTGTGCATGTGCATCCTCACCAGCATCTGGCCACCAGTCTTGAATAGTTCGGCTGGTAACCCATCGGCTCCTGCTGCTCTGTGGTTATTGAGCCGATTAATTGATTTTATGACCTCATCTTGGCTTGGTGGTATACACTCTATACCATCATCTCTTATTGATTCTGGGGTATCTTCTTCATCGCCACTATTTGATACTAGAAGCTTTTCGAAATGCTCCTTCCAGATCCTCAACACGCTGTCTGTATCTGTCACCAGGTTTCCTTCTTCATCTCTACAGGAGGATGTGCCTGCCTTCGGTTTGGTGTTTTACTCGTTGGTAAAAATTCCGGACTTCATTCTGACTCCTGTACATCTCGATTTGCACACGCTCACGCCAATTGTTCTTTTTGCTGCAGTTTGTAGGGAGTGGGCAATTCTTTACCATTGTGCTTCTATTATCGGGACAAGAGTGCTTTCTTCAAGCAGATGGCTAAGTTCAGAGGAGTATGCCTCGGCTACCTGTTGTGTTTGCAGCTTTTCGACGTCGAGTTTCCGTGTTGTATTAGATCACACCTTTGCTGAAACATTAAGACGGGTGCGTACCTTGGCTGCCACAAGGTAATGGTCCGAATCGATATTCGCTCCTCGGATCGATTGGACGTCTAAAACACTGGATGAATACCTTCCGTCTATCACAACATGATCAATTTGATTTCTCGTTACATGATCAGGAGAGATCCAGGTGGCCTTGTGTATATCGAGATGCTTGAATCTGGTGCTGCTAACTACCATGTTTTTTTCTGCCGCGAAGTCAATCAACCTCATGACATTGTCGGATGTTTCTTCATGAAGGCTGAATTTTCCGACGGTGGGGCCAAAGATATTTTCTCTTCCGATTTTTGCATTAAAATCTCCTAGCAGAATTTTAATGTCATGGCCAAAGCAACAGTCATATGTTGTTTCTAGGCGCTCGTAAAATATGTCTTTGGTCTGTTCATCTTTATCTGCGGTCGGAGCATGGGCGCAAATTAGACTGATGTAAAAGAACTTCGCTTTTATACGGATTATAGCAATTCGCTCATCTACTGGAGTGAATCTGTAGACAAGGTCTTTTATTCTCCTGTTAACCATAAATCCGCAGCCAAATTCATGTCTCGTTTCATGGCAGCTATAATACAAGGCGTAATCATCTGATTTACTTACGCCTGTCCCTTTCCATCGCATTTCCTGTAAGGCAGTAATATCGGCTTTGTACTTCTTGAGTATATCCGCCAAAGCGAACACTGCGCCTGTTTTGTAAACGTGCGCACATTCCAAGTGCAGATTCGCAGACCGTGGTCCTTTATACGTTTGCGGGGGTCGTCAACATTAGGGGGGTTTGGTTTTCTTTTTCTTAGTAGGTTGGGTTTTCCGAGAGTGGGCAACTAACCCGACGCCTCAACCCATTTTTTATACCCTCCACCATAGTATGGAGGGTATATCAATTTTGTCATTCCGTTTGTAACACATCGAAATATTCATTTCCGACCCTATAAAGTATATATATTCTTGATCAGGTTAAAATTCTAAGACGATCTAGCCATGTCCGTCCGTCTGTTGTAATCACGCTATCTTCTGAAGGAATTGAGATAGGGTGCTGAAATTTTGCACAAAGTTGTCTTTTGTCTGCAGACAGGTCAAGTTCGAAGATGGGATATATCGGTCCACGTTTAGGCATAGCTCCCATATAACGGTACCCCCAATTTTCGGTATTTTAAGGTTCTTGAGCGCGGTTTTCAACCAAATTCGCTGAAATTTGGTACTTTGAGCTCTTGTTGGGAAGCAAATCTCCCTACTAAAAATTATAAATATATGTCAATTTTTTCTGGTACCCCCCATATAACGGTACACCCAATTTTCGGAATTTTAAGGTTCTTGAGCGCGGTTTTCAACCGAATTCGCTGAAATTTGGTATATAGGGTTCTTATTGGGTACCAAATTTACCCACTAAAAATTATAAATATAGGTCCACTTTTTCTGGTAGCCCCCATATAAAGGTTCCTCCCAATTTCCAGTTTTTGGGGGTTTTGACCGGATTTTTTCACCGATTTGGCTGTAATATTATGAGTCCCTAATAGGTACCAAATCTCCCCACAAAAAATATGAATATAGGTACCCTCAATTTTCGGTATTTTGGGGTTCTTGAGCGCGTTTTTGTAGCGAATGCGTTGCAATTCGGTATTTTGTAGTCGTATATGGTAACAAATCTGTCCACCAAAAATTTATTAATATTCACCGCCTTTTTGGGGTAGTCCCCATATAACCCCCTTTTTATACCCTCCACCAAGTTTGGAGGGTAAGTCATCGAAATATTCATTTTCGACCCTATAAAGTATATATATTCTTGATCAGGGTAAAATTTTAAGACGATCTAGCCATGTCCGTCCAGCCATTTTTCGGTATTTTGGGGTTCTTCAACGTGTTTTTCTGCCGAATGCGTTGGAATTCGGTATTTTTGTAGTCGTATATGGTAACAAACCTCCCCACAAAAAATTATTAATATTCTCCCCTTTTTCTTATTCGTTATCAAATTCCCATGTAATGTAATTTATGTAAATCCTCGAAAATAAAGATAGGTCATACACTTTTCTTTTGAAAGGAGACGTAATATTATGGTAAAATGGTACCTACATATGTGGTACTGCAATGCGATATCTTTGTCGCGTAAACATCCAATTATGTAGAACGCGACCCATGCACGTGTCTTATGTTTACAGGTAGAACATATCGGTTTTATAATTTTTAAAAGATAACATCACAAATAATATGTAAACAACCCAATTAGAACCTATAATTGAAGCAGGTAAAAGGGTTTCCTTTATAAGAACAGTTGTTTTGTTTTTACGAAAATTTTAAATTTTATGACATTGTTTGTTTCAAAAAGGTCAAACTACCTCTCTGCGTTAGAGGTTCATAACAGTTAGCTTCAATTAATAACAAGTCCCCTAACCCCAGTAAATTTAGGTAGGTATTATAAATAATAAGCTCTAGGTATGCAAAAATTACGTACATATATAAATTGTGAGTACTCTGTTTTAAAATCAGTACATTATTGTTACTTGAAGAGTGTGTGTGCACATTTCGTAAAAAAATTAATAATTGAAATATTACAATTTAATAAGTGTTTTAAATACGTGTACATATAAATAATAAAGATGCCTAGACTACGCAAGCAATCAGTACAACAGCGCCAACGATTAATTGCGATGCGAGTCAGCAACTACCGCGAAGAAAACCCCTCGGACATCCTTAGGAACGCACGTTCTTTATCAACCAGAAGACGGAATGCAGAATATCGCGAAGAAGAGCGTGAACGGGATCGCATCCAGCACCAAACAAGGAGGAGATCTTCATACAATCGAAAAATAGAGCAGCTACGTAATACAGCACAGCATTTTACTCGTCGACAGGATGATGCATTAAGATTAGCCGAACAGGAGAGAAATACGATTGAGCACTCGCTTCGTCGTCAAGATGATGCGTACAGAATAGCCGAACAAGAACGAAACACGCAGCAGCACACGGTTCGTCGTCAGGATGTTACGTACCGCTTGGCGGAACATGAGCGAGATACGCGTCTTCACTCGATTCGTCGTCAAGATGATGTATACAGATTTGCCGAACAACAGCGAAACACGCAGCAGCACACGGTTCGTCGT